TTCGTACTTAGTAGTCGGACAAAAATTACTTTTGAGTTGAACATCCCCTAATATATATGTTACAACTCTGCTGGATTAATTTTATTTTAATCTCGTTGTTCTGTTACCGGCATAAGCCGAAGAGCTCGTTTTATCTTGGGGAAAGATTTTCGCTAGTCGGAAATACTTTCTTGAGGACAGCGTTTACGCGACTCGAGCTATATTATTTTCTAACGCTTTTTGCAGGTTTATCCGACCAATTTCCTACAACATAATACATACACGATGACATTTAAAACTATTACATTCTAAGTTTAGACAATGAAAAAATAACTTTAGTTTTTAATTGAAATGCTCTATAAAAAAGTGTTGATACATTAAATCGTAAAAAATAGCAAACAAAAGAAAATTTATTTGAAGATAAAGAGTTTAACACATCCACCAATACTTTTTAAATAACTTTTGTCCTGTTTAACCACATAAATCTTTATCTGAATAAAGAATTGGTTTTTTAATTACAATTTCTGTCTAGCAAAAAGAGAGTGTTCGTGAGTCATGAGCAATTTTCTTATTATGACAATACAGAGTATTATGTATGACATTATTATTTTAGAATAATATTATATTACTACATTTCATAATTGAAAACCGGACCAACTAAATTCATACAACTATTTTGATTCCCATTTTTTAAAACTACCACCGTTATAGAAGTCGGCGGTCTCTTCCCTCTTCGTAGGGGTTGGCAATTCCGCCGACTTGGTGCGGCTCGTGCAAGGCGAACAGAAGCAGAGGATAGTAGATGGCGATGAATGGCTCGAATCAGCAAGGTATCGGCGGCCAGGCGGGCCAGCATGAAGCGAATGAGGAGAGCCCAGACGAGAAGTATGTGGGACGAGGAGAGTTGCACGAGATTCGAATAGGCCAAATTCGAGATTCGAATGGAGGTTCAATTAGAGTGGTATCAATGATACGACCTCCTCCTGAACCACCGCCATGGATTGTACGAGGTGCTAGAGTTCGTGATAGTTTTCGTATTAGTTATTATTATTATTTTGTCATTTGGTTTCTTATTATCGTTTTGGTTGTTAGGTCTATCAGTTTGTTTGGAATGTTAGTCTTTTTTAATTTTGTCAAGACTCTAGAACCTAGGACAGGTGATGGGGAACTTAGTTTACTAGTCATTGGCTCAAGTAAGCCCAATTTAGGATCAGCGAATCTGTGTGCTTCATTAGAGATGACAGATTCTAAGTCTGATTGAAGGGCAAACGGTAGACTGTGTGTTCTTTGTCTATTTGTACCCTGTTTACGTTATTTCTTATTAATATAAGTCACATGGTTCCAAAAAAAATTGAAAATCGGACCGTTTATATTCTCGATTTGTCTTGGGGTACACAAGATGTACACATATTGTACATCATATAAATCCCAACAAATTACCATTCCATTTACCCCACCTTCTCTCCTCTCTTTCTTTCCCTCCCACTCCCCCTTCCCCTTACGTATTTTCGCATGCCAACGAGCTTACCATATGTGAGTACTGTTCACTCAAGCTTCTTCTTCCTCTTGTTCTCTTCACAGCTCGACGGAGGTAGTATAATAACACTTGAGGAATGGATTATAGTCTTGAGGAGATGGCCTTCATCAGTAGTTACGACATGGACGATTTTATGGGAGACAAAGCAGACCAATCCGGGCGACACAAAATGAAGGTGAGCCCTGCACGAAAGACGCCGGCGCCGGCGAGGAAAACCATATTTTGGACGTTGATGATGAAGAAGGTACGTAGAACGTAATGTCTGTGTACACAGACATTTCGAGGTTTCAGTGCCTGTAGAACTGAATGACATTGTATTTGCATACTTTAACATTCATTTGTGTTACTCTATGATTTTGAAGTAAAAGTATTGTATTTTGTGTTGTATTTTTCATGTAATAAATGTTTATATTCTATTGCCTGTGCACACAGATGAAATAAAGTAAATGTGTGTTGGTATTGCCTGTCCACAGACGTTTATATTAGTAATAATTATTTTTTATATATGTGTTCAATCAGACCCGGATAACACAAATGTAGATGGTGTTACTCTATGATTTTGAAGTAAAAGTATTGTATTGTGTGTTGTATTTTTCATGTAGTAAATGTTTATATTCTATTGTCTGTGCACACAGATGAAATAAAGTAAATGTGTGTTGTTATTGCCTGTCCACAGACGTTTATATTAGTAATAATTATTTTTTATATATGTGTTCAATCAGATCCGGATAACACAAATGTAGATGGTGGTACACCAGACATCCATGTAGAAGTTGGGATGTTGTTTATGGGAAAAGATGAAGCCTATGAGCATTATAAGAATTACGCAAAACGTATAGATTTTCTCACTGGAGCATGTTTACCCTTGTATTAATTGCCTGTGAGACCGGTGCACATTGTCGGGCCACAGACATTTGACCACTAGAACCAAATGTTTAATCAGGGGCAAAATGCTTGTCACACGGGACACAAATGTCTGGCCACAGACATGTGACCACTGGAACCAAATGTTTGCTCAGAAGCAAATTGTTTGTCACACCGGATAAAGATGTCTGGCCACAGACATTTGACCACTGGAACCAAATGTTTACCCAAGGTATAAATGTCTGTGAGCCCAGAGGAAAATGTCTGGTCACAGGCAATTTGCGACTGGAAGTTCAAATTTCCAATCCACTAATATTATGTACTATTGCAATGTATAACAGGGGTGGTAAAAAAAACAAGGTGGGAAAGCATCAGTGGAAGTGGCCGGACCAAGCAACGTTGAAGATGTAGTACCAAGAAATGTTGCACCAACCAATTTACAATGGATGTATAATGATGACTTAAGCTTAAACCTTTCTTTGTTTTAGGCAATTACAAGGCATGTAATGACATATTTTTTGTATCATGACAATCTATGACATTTTGTCACATACTTTGCCATAACCTTATTAAAAAATTTCGCAATTTATGTGATATTGTCACAATATATGAATGAAGTCATGTTTAACAAATTTTCAATGCTACAATAAAAGATTTAAATATTGGATTGTTCACATCCAATTTACTACCATCATATACTGCAAAACCAGAAGTTGATATACATATGTTTGGTTTAAGGATTACATAAAAAACATAAGCATATATATAACTACTTCGGGGCATATGGTGGTTAATGTCGTAACAACAAAATTAAGTACTTTGCTTCAAGTGTTTGTTCCCATCAATTACAATGACAAAAATATATGGAGAACCCTCGTTCCTTCTTCAATCTTCTATGCATTCTTCTTCAAACGTCATAGGCGTAATGCAAAGTTCTTTCGTATTGTGCGGGTGTCGTCATACTCACACCCGGGTATTAAGGGGAGGCCGTGCATCAAATGTTTAGCAAACGCCATAACCATAACACCGCATACTCCACTCCTGCACAAAAGTAAGAATAATTTCATAAATACCGATACGAATGCATGTTTATCAAACACCATAAACATAAGTTTTTCAAAGACATTATGTATAAGTGTTTGTGCACACAGACACTTAGTAATTTATACTTTTTGGTTTAATAAACAGTACACTTACCACACTGCTTAGCCATTCATGTGGGTCTATGAGCTCACGAAAGAACTTTCTAGCAATAGTAATATGGAGTGGCGTGTCTAACAACACACAAACCGGTTCGACAGTAGCAGGGCCTTCTAGCCAAGTCTTCAGGTCATTCAACAGTTTCTCTTCTTCCGGAATTTCTGTGTCGCTTCCTTTATCACTCCGCTTCAACCGCTTAGCACACGGATCCAAGAAAGGACTATTGTGATACTTTGACACAAACCTCCTCCTTTTTTCTTTTCCTCTATGGCAGGTTGGGGTTTGGTTATTTCAACATCATCTTCAAGAAGATCTTCCCATTCCACATTTTGAAAAGGGGTTGGGAAAGTCACTGATGCATCCAAGAATGCATCATCCTACAAAATTAAAATCAATAAGATGTTTACAGACGTGCACGAACCAGAAATACTAGTAAGATCATATCCACAATCTGGTAACAACTTAACCAAAAGTTCATGCTTTTTCCTACAAATAACACAAATGAAGTCATATAGATTCAATTCTATAATGAGCGTATACTTCAAAAATACCGTACTGTTTACACACTGATGACTTACAACAGATTCAATTCTACACCCCATTATAGATTCAATTTTATAATGAGCGTATACTTCAAAAATACCGTACTGATTACACAAAATTATTTATTATCAAGGAACACAAACAACACATCACAAACTATGGACAAATGAAGTCAAATATAAATGCAGAAAACGACTTCAATCATAATAAATTGTACAACCTAAACCGTCTGGCCACAGACATCATCAGTCCATCCCCCAAACAAATTAAAAATCCTACAATCCGGCTCCTTAGGGTTCCCAAACCACCATTACAGTGTGCTTCTCACTTCATGAAACTCATTGTTCCAGCGTATACTTTCGAAATACCATAATGATTTTATAAAAAACAAGAGACACACACAAATAACAGAATAGGGGTTCAAAATCAAGAATACTACTCAGAAATGTGTTCAAGAAGAGGATATTACCTTCTATTTGAAGCCCCAGCCAACGATGACAGTGACGTCCGAACCATTTCGCTGGTGGGTTCTTCAGGGGAGACGCCGGGTTTCACAGTCACGCCAGGAGACCGGGGATGCTTCACGACGAGGATGGTGTGTGCAATAAGAGATGACTTCAAGGGATGGAAGTGGAGAGGCAAAGAAGAAAACAAATGTGGGGAGATGCGCACAGAACGAGAAGAAACGACGAAAAAGAAAGGAAGTGAAGAAGTGGGAGGTTTGAGAAGAGGTTCACACGTGGGGATGAAAGGTGAGGGAGGGGGGTAAAAAATTTAATTTTGACCTTTTATATGGTGTACAAATTGTGTACATCTAATCTAATGTACACATAGCATTTTAGTTATATTCTAGTTTAATTTGTTTCCGACCTTTTCTGTTCGGTTTTCTTGTTTGTGCATGCCCCCAAGTGCCCCAACGACCCAACACACCCATCAGACCATGAGTCCATCTTCTATCTTAAAACCTCAGACTTGGCTTGCGCGCCCAAAACCCGAAGCCATGTCCATTGCTCTTCCCATTCTGTCTCTTTCACGAATGGTGAGGGGTTCTTCAGTCGACACAAAGCATAGACTGTCTTACAATCCCCATCGCACATATCCCCGAAGCTCAGGCACACTCTCTACGGCAGCGCCACCCATCATCCCCACCGCGAACAGCCGCCCGGAGATTTCAATTTCAGATATCCTTAGACGCGATGCCCCGACTCCGAGTCACGGTACATGCAGTCTTTCATATATCTCGGTGATGCAATTTTCACTCAATTTGAGAATTAATTCATGCCAATGATGTGGGGGAGACAGGGAAATTACCTGAAACATATCTTGGGTTTGAGACATGGTTGCCGAATCCGCCAAAAGTGGAGAAGCCTCGGTCAGTTTTCAATGCAGCATCTCTAGCTTATATGGGAGATTGCATTTTCGAGGTGTGCATTTCAGTTCAAAGTTTTTTTTTAATAAATTAATGAATCAAATGAAGATCAGGAAATATAGTGCGAAGAACCCCATACAAAGGATACCCCCACACACGAGTTCTGTTTCAATGTTCTTTTTGTCCAAAAACATAGTATGATGAAATGAAAATAATTTTACAAGAAATTTATCAATATAGAGTAACAAAAGAGTTCAATGTATTTAATGTAGGTAATCTATAAATATAGTTTTTAAAATAGAGGTATCAATTATGAATTGAAATTTGTGTACATTGACAAAAAAGGCTGTATCTTGGTCAAACATAACTCTGTCTATGAGACGGAGTGAGTAATATTATGGGGTGAAGTGAAAACATGGTGAAATAAATGGTTTCCAAAAAAATACAGACTTTCTCTTACTGTGTTATTTCTATAATGCCAGCTTGTTTGAAATCTTTGTATTGTAGTGCACTCAGCACTATGTTCAGTGCAATTATATTTTATGATTCTTACATAGCTTCCACCAACGTTTTCACCATTGAGACACTTCTTCAAAATTAAAACATTTGTATGAACCATGCGTGTGTATTATATTTGGCTGTTTTCTTTTACGTTTAGGCAACGAGCTAATTCTTGGGTTAATTGGACCAGGTGACTAACTAGTTTCATATATAGCCAATCGAATTGGATGGTGTAGTCTATTTTTTAAAAATATGGTTTCAACAATCGGTATTCCATTGAGGGGAATCTGCAATTTGGTCCTTGACAGTTTGACTTGTTCAAATGTAGTCATTCCATTTCATTGTTAGTTTATAAAAATATAGTCCTCAGTTGTACCACAGTATCATGTTTTTAGTTCCTTCACTCAACACTTCCCATCTATTTAAATCAATCATTTGATAAAGCAATCTCAAATCAGTCGGACTTGACACATTGACCTGAAACTTTATCAAATTATTGATTGTTTGACTTTAGAAATAGATGATGCTCAACCAAAGGATCAAAGCATCATACATGAGGACTAAAATTGCAATAATATGACCCACCTGAGAAATCAATGTAGAAAAAATGGACAAAAAGCTAATTACTCCATGTCAAAAGTACTAAGCAGGAACAAAGTACAAATACATGTCAAGATCTCAAATCTCAATTAAGTTACTCATCCAGGTGATTTGAAAATTTTGACATTGAATATACCTGTGTAAGCAGATATATGCTCGAAGGCACTTTTTATTCCCACCATTGAAAATTGAAGAACACAATGATCGTGTGATGGCAGTAGTTCGTTGTGAGACTCAAGTATGTCTATTCTTTATTTTTTCATGACTAATTCTTCCTTTTTATATGCATATCTTTTTGAGAGAATCTATTGGAACTTGAGATGTGACCAATGTCCAATGGACCATAGCTAACACTAATAGCATCTTGATAGTTGATATAGACATTATTTTATTATTGCTCACACATCCTTCACATTGACCTTGTTACACTTAATGTCATCAATACTTTCTATTTCCTAATCTTGTTTTACTTGAAGTTTGTGAATATTCATACTGCCAGCTATTTAAGTATTTTTGAAACCTGTAATTCCCCTCCCAGACATTATATCTATCTCATTGACTATATGCTGCATATGGGTGCCTTGAAGTTCAGATATGAGTTATACTAAGTGGATGCTTGAATGTTTTGTTTGGTGTCTAAGTCTCCTTCGTGGAGGAATAGTGAATTCTTTGATCGGTACATTTCAGGGTGCCATGTTGCAGAAACTTATCAATGACAATTTCTTATCAGAAGAAGAAAGGTCAGTTGTGCACTTTTACAATATTATTCTACTTGGAACATAGACATATAATCAATGTTTTATTATATCCTCACATGGTGGAAGAGGAACTTGCAGATCTATGATAATTAATATGTATTCAATACTCAATTTTAATAAAGATTCCCTGACAACTGTAAAATTTCTGAGTATCTTTACAAAAACCAAGTTGAAAAAGAGAAATCCTTATACTAAGACTCCATCAGTCTATAAAACAAAGGTTCTGTTCGAGTAATTTTTTTTAAGGTCAACTTAATCAAGGTACAAGTTTTATAGGTTATGAATGGTCACTTATACCCCTAAATATATTTTAAAGGTTGTTTGGAGTAATTGACTAAAACGCTTGCCACTTGGCCTTGTTTAAAAAGTAAAGTTGACTTTAAAACCACTCTTAGGGGGGGGGCAAAAAAGTTATTGGAAAACTTGGAATAAGACTTTTTGTTACATAGGTAGTATTAGATATCATAATTATAAATATGGGGTGGTGCTTGTTTGGGATTCATGAAGTATGACACTTACTAGGGTTTGTATCCCTTAAAGTGTGGAAAACTAAAAAGACATCAATTTTGTACAAGAAAAGATCATGTGTGGGATAATCTTAACATTTGACAGCTTCTTCTTTTTTATGATTTATTTATAGGGAAGTGCTTCGCTGGGGAAAAAATGTTGGTTCTGGGAAAACAAAGACTAAAAAACGTGCTGGCGTTGCTATTTACAACAAAGCATCATCACTTGAAACCCTTGTTAGTTCCTCTTACTTAACATAAAGGATACAAAGTATACTATGGATATTTAATATGCTTATAAGTTATAACTGAGTAGTTTTTTGAACATATTTGGAGTAACAAAATGATTGACAGTTTTGAGAACACTATTCATAAAATACATGCTAGTCTTTTATGTTGCATAGCACTAAATATGTGATTTGTACTTCGTTTCTTAATACTTACATGTAATGATGGTTCTCAGCACTCATCAGCAGAGAACTTTTGGTGTGAATATTTGGACATGCTCAATGCTCATTAGTTAGTAAATAACTCTTGTTCTTTTGCAGATTGGTTACCTATACCTGACAAATATGATGCGGCTAGAAGAGATCATGCTTAAGTTGGGTTTCTGTACCGGAGCTTCATCTGAACTTATTGTGAAGAGCAAACACTGTAAGTTCATCTTGTAACATGTGAAATACTGCAAATAAGTATGTTCTATGTAGTTGAATTCATCACAAAGCGGCCTCTATACTTGACAATCTGTCATCATCATCATCAGCATTATCCCAGTGCTGCAAAGGCACCCACCTACGGTGGGGGTAAGGGGTTGGATGTACACAGTCTTACCCATGTACTAAAGCACATAGAAACTGTTTCTGGATGACCCATAAAAAAAATCGTGTCGAAAATTGCATGGACCGAGTGCTGCTTCATACTCCGTAACAAAGAAGCGCAAACAGTTTAGTGAGTCATTTTGTTTTATTCCATCATATTCTCAAGCCAAAAAATAGTGAGTCTTGACAATATGTTCCATGCTTAAATTTCTAATCATCTCAAAAAGGAAACTTAAAGACGTTACTAATGTGGGGAGATTCCACTTCAAAAAAATTATGTTTTCAACAAAAAATATCAAAATAATTATATAATGTGGAATAATGACGGGCACCTCTGGTTAATAAATAATACTCCCTCCGTCCCATCAGAAGGTTCTCACTTTCCTTTTTTGGATGTCCCATATAAAGGTTCCCATTTCCATTTTAGGAAACATTTAACAATCTTAAGTGACAAATTAATCATTAAAAGTTATAAACAATACATTTATAACATCACAATTATCAATACTAACTACATTATAATACATACCTATTAAAATTATTTCTCGAAATATACCTGAAGTACTTTATTTAATTATTGCCTAAATAACTGTGCCGTTTTGCTATGGGAACCTTCCAACGGGACGGAGGTAGTATGTTATTATGCTGTAAAAGTTAAGTTAATCTGACTACCGGTGAAATGTTTTTAAAGTTTTAAACTTCTAGTTCTCTGCAACTCGGACCTATCATTTCCCTTTTCTTCTTTTACACATTCTTTGAGACTTTGGGTATGTTTTGATCTTGAAAAAGGGGCCAGGAAAAGGGGAATAGTTTTTAGGGAAGCTATTTTCATATGTTTTGCTTAACCTTTGAAAGAATAATGAATCATGGTAATTTTTCTTGGTGATATTGGAGTTTGTGCATAGAAGACCGAATGATGCACTTGTTTGACGACTTATGGGGTGGGGAGAAGAGACATAGAGGTGAGGGAGGGGAAAACCCAAACAGACTTGGATTAGAGGAATCAGAACTGATATGCGTCTTCTTGGATTGGATGAGAGTATGACTTTGGAGAGAGCAAAGTGGAGAGCAAATTGTGGGCGATTGTTGTCTTTTCTATCTTCCCCCTCTTTTCTTTTATCGTTTATCTTCTTTATCTTTTTATATTCTTATGTTATTTTTATCTTCTAACTTTTTTGTGCTCTTTTATTTTTTTCTTTTATCTTTCTTATATTCTTATGATATTGTTATCTTATACGAAGCATTTATTTATTTTTATTTTATCCGTTTTATCTTACTTTTTTTCTTCTCTTTTTGGCCGTCTTCTCTGTTTGGCATCGATATCATGGATCGATTCATGTTAGATGACCCCAAATTCTTTTGGGATTAAGACTTGGATGTCGTTGTTGTTCATACTGGAGTTTGTGTGTGATGGATCGACGCAGGTGACCCGACAAGAGGTCAAATATTCAATTACACACAGTGAACTTCTAGGTTTTTCACCATCTCTTCAATCTTGTTCTTCTTGTTATTCTTCCTCTCTCTTGTCTTTTTGATTTGATTTCTTCAGTCACACCTATCAAAGAAAATGAAGTTACTTTTTTTTTACTTCTTTAAGTTGCACTTTTTTTTAGATCATGTGGTTCAATGGAGCTTGTTCAACTTGGATGATCCAATTGCTAATTGCACATTGCATATTATTTGAAATGGAAATTTCACAGGTTTAGAGAACGATGGTCAAGAAGTATCATCATGAAGAATTACGGGAATACATGAAGCAGGCTAGTATAGGCAGACAACCACATTGTCCATTGAGATTAGAAAGGTTTATATTTTAGACGAGTTTGTATTGCATTTGATGACAAATACGGAGTAAGGAGTATATCATTAGCTTGATGACAATTAGAGCCGCATATTTTTGCAAGTTTCATGGAAGAATATTCATTACATAGGTCTTATAAAAGAAATCACTTTGTTTTAAAGTGATGACCACCCCTATATTGTGTCCAATTTTTGTTTGATTTGACATAAAGCACGAGTATATTTAGAAAATCAAAACAACCAATTACCTGGCATGATTATGTATAGATCAAAGTAGAAACATAATTATGTATAGATCAAAGCAGAAACTTGGAGGGATTAATTGAGAGAATTTTACTTAGCACCATTTTTTTGAATAGTATTTGACTTTATACCATATTTTCAAATTATTAATGTATGCATATCATATTACTTTAAAATCCTTCACAATTTCTTCACAATTTTTGGGTTAATGGAGTGCAGACATTGATGATTTTATTGATGATTTTAAAAATGAGATGTAATATAGTCCAAAACACAAGGGGTAAACTAGGGGCGTGCACAATTCGGTAAACGGATACTGAAATTTCGGTACGTACCAATTACAGAACCGAAATTTTGATTCAGTAATAGTGCATTTAATTTTGAAAATTCGGTATTCGATTCGGTATATATATAAATATTTTGGTTTTTGGTATGTACCGAATACTGAAATACACAAATAATAAATATTAAAATAAAATATATTTATATATTTTGACCCTATATATATATACATCGGTATGTATTATATATTTATACTATATAATATATGTTGTATTTATATACAAAGTATTATATACTTCGTATAATACATTTAAATATTTATTTATAAACCATTAAATAAATATTGTTGAATGCCTATTTGGTATTTCGGGTTTAGATTTTTTTTTCTGGCCGATTTAGTTCAATTCGATATTCAGTTTATCAATATCCACAACCCAAAAACCGAAATTTCTGGTCGATATTACCACCGAATGAACACCCCTGAATTATAAACTAAAATGCCCCACATTAATCTTGCATTTGAAAATGTTCATTTGGATGCACCATGGGCAATTGGGCACCGTAGATATGCAATATGCATTTTCACACGTGATGCACATGTCCGCGGAAATCTTATGTAGGTCAGTCATCATTGGGTATTGTTCCATTGTCCTTAGTGTGGTTCTGTCATCTGTGTCCCTGGCTCATACTCCTTTCCTTCCGCAAATTTTTCAATTTTCTGGACTGTTCCATTTTTTTTTTCTCATTTCCTTTTTTTGTACTCCCCCGTCCCTGAAAATACTTCAAACTTTTCCTTTTCGTCCGTCCCAAAAAGATCTTCTCTTTCCTTTTTTGACAAAGAATTTGTGGTTCAAAACATTTCTCTCTCCTCTGCACAACTTTCCACCACACAATTCTCACTTTCTTAATCCGCGTGCCACTTTATTTTGGAAGTAAATTATGGGACGGAGGTAGTATAATTTTGTGTGACAATCATTCATTTACTTTTTTCTTAGAATCTTTTTATTTGGACTTTAATTCCTCCCAGACCAGACCAGATCAGATCAGACCAGACTAGTTCAGATCAAACTAGACTTGGATAGTTATAAAAATACAAAGAAACCAGACCAGACCAGACCAGACCAGACAATCAAATTACAGTCCAAGTAAAAAACATCTTTACTCAATCACAACTATGCATTTCCACTTTCTTAAACCCTAATTCAAGTAGAACTATTTTACGAGATGAAGGGAGTATATCAGCGTGCGGTCCAATCAAATCACTTAGTGCTTGTCCAAACCTACTTGGGTACAAGAAGAGCTTACATTGGAGTGATGGAACGAACACGAGTGGGTTTTCAATTCACTAAGAAGAGAAATTCAAACATAACCGAAACACAGACATAAATATAAGCAAAAATACAAACATAAACACAAATAAAGGTTTGGGCAGATATTCTCACTTGTCTCTTAACAAGGGTCGGTCCTGTCCATTTCTGGGCATATGGGAGGTATGCTATTTTGGGCTTATATCAATGAGAAACAGTAAATCATATTTGGGTAATGAAGTTCATAAAATAAAGGCGAGAATCACTTTATTATTATTTAAGTTACATATTTGAGCAAGAGTAACAACACAAGTATCGAATATAAAGAAAAAACATTACTTAAAAACATTTCTCGTAGAACAATGTGAAGCAAATCATCAATAATTGCTTCATAGGCAACCTTCTTTCCACTAATAAATACGGAATATGACAAACAATAAAATTGTCACATATAACAACACTAAATTTTCTTTTGAAAGGATTTGAAAAGAAATATTATCACATATTGAATTCATAAGTTGAGAATGATTTATTGACCGCTGATGAGAGTCTAAAGTTTGAAATCTCGAAAGAATGAAGGTTTTCATAGAGACAAAATGTTTGTTTGCCAAGGGGACTTGCCCAAGAAGATTACAAATTTGACGTCCTCTAAAACAACTATTAAAAACTCAAATATAGCTTATTGAAATTTGGAAACAAATGAATGATTGCGGTGAGATTTGAGAGAAATGGGCTCTAAAATAATTATATAAATTTGTTATGTTATTGATGGAGTATATGGCCCGGGAACCCCCGGCCCACAGACTCCTACCACTCCACCAAAGGCCCAACAGGCCCAACAGGCCCAAATCACAGCGCCCAGAGTACCAAGCAGTCCGCACAACGCACAGGGGTGCCTTCGGCCCCCTGGCCGAAGGCTCCAAATTGTCACAGAGCGGGTTTCCCAAGCAAACTAAGAAACTGGGAGAAAACGGTGAAAACAGCAGCCCTCGGCACTGTAAGCCCTCGGCACCAGGGGTGCCATCGGGAGGGAGATCCCTCGGCTACTGCTCTATAGCCGAAGGCATCTCACTCGACAAGATATCCGCTTCACATGCGTACAGATCACCGTACTCTGCACAGACGTCCCATCCAACAGCCGCATTAAATGCGGCCACATGCGGCTGCCAGCGCCAATCAGTAGAGGTGACCCCTCAGCCAATGAGCGCCTGACACGTGTCCCTACCCGGCATTTATTGCTACTATAAATAGCACCCCATTTCCCCATTTGTAACCACGCTTAATACATACCGAATATACACTCTCTCTCTTACTTACTTGCTCTGACTTCTCTTTAAGTTACTCCCCGTAGTAACCCTTCGGATATATACCCCCGGGTAGACTATCCATCATTTGGTGCTCTCGTTGAGAGCCATTGGTGTATTCTGATGGTCTCCTAATAGGCCCAGCCTTACCAAGAAACCAAGTTTCTTGATGCCTTTCCTTCACCACCAACCAAAAAAAAAAAAAAAAAAAAGGGGTGAAGGGGAGTAGACTCAGCGAGATATCAAAGAGTACACTCCAACAGATCACAACAAACCGAGGGCTCCCCACGGGAACACCCCCGGTTACTGAAGGCTCCTATTTCCCGAAGGATACCACTCAAACAAAGGTCCCATGACAAGGGTCAAATTCTACAACTTTTGAAGTGTATGCCGAGGGCACACACTCCTCAATGGCTTTCTTCACAACAACAGGATTCAACATCAATTTATGCTTAGAAACATTGATGTCCTGAAGGAGCAGCCCCCGGTCACCCGAAGGCTACACAGGGAAGCAGCACTTGAAAAAAATTCTAAGCCCTAAAGATTGGGCCCCCGGCCCAATCAATATTACAGCCAAGGGAATATGGTGGCCGAAGGCTATGCAATACAAACAACACTTGCAAACAAAGAAAATTTCTATGTCCTAAAGATGGGCCCCCGGCTCAATTAGTATTGCAGCTAGAGGAGTGTGACAGCCGAAGGCCATACATCAAGGAGGGATTCCATTTCCCGAAGGCTCCCAAGGGAGATTTTGCACTTAGAAGAATTTTCTAAGTCCTGCATATTTCCCCCGGTCAACTACTCATACATCATGAAGGGATGCCATCTCCCGAAGGCTCCAAGGGAAACTCTACACTTAGAAGATTTTCTAAGTCCTACATATTTCCCCCTCATCTCGAGGGACCTAATTGCTGAAGGCTACCTATCAATCGAGGGCTACAGTTCACAAGGAATCAACACTCAAGGAAATCTTCTAAGTCCTAAAAGAATTAGCCCCCGGCCTATTCAATATTACAGGTGGGGCTCCACAGTAGCCGAAGGCTACATGGCATACTACACTTCCAAAAATCTCTAAGTCCTGTGCATTGGGCCCTCGGTCCAACATTCACACATAAGGAATGGGCGCCATATCCCGAAGGCTCTCAAAGGGGAATCTACACTTAGAGATTTTTCTAAGTCCTAGGAGGTGGGTTACTACAAACGCCCGAAGGCCTCATGCTGTGCTACACTTAGAAAAAAAAAATTCTAAGTCCTAATTGCTGCCGAACCATCGGTTGTATGTCCAGCAGAGGGTGCCCAACTACCGAAGGTTCCCAAGGGCTAAGCTACAATCAGATAGTATTCTAAATCCTAAGACATACATTCAAAGGAACAAACACATACATTCAAAAATGCCGAAGGCATACATCCAAGAATAAAGGAATCGAAGGGAACAAGTCATATATACAAAGCCCGAAGGCGATCATTCAATCATCAAAAAGAAAGCAAGTGTAATTGCGATGTTACTATTACAAGCAGGCCGAAGCCGAGGGATAAATAATGTCATCATTACAAATGTATGTTTACGTGATAAAAAGTACATATCAAATCATGTTACTCCCGGGGGCCGCCTCCCCCGATGGCTTCGAGGTCACTTCTGCGTCGGCCTCAGGTTCGTCGCCCTCGGCTTCCTTCATGAGCTCAGAGTCCTCTAGGTCTGGCCTCTCGACATCGGGGGGAAGGGGAACGCGGATGTCTGGCTGCAGGGGGGAGCCCGTATGCTGCCGGGTCAAAGTCCTTTGGCTCGATCTTCAAGTGGCGAGCCATCCTCCGATAGATGAGGGCTTGAGTGAAGAACTCGCCCCCATCGTAGTATTGTTTACCCTTTCGGGAAACCCACTCCACGCCAGGCCCATCGCACCACTCGTCGACCGAGGACAGCCATTGCTTGTGCTCCTCGGACCGCCATCCCCCTGCCAAGAACCCCGAGATTGCGTCCTCCCGGGCTCTCTCGACGGCTTCAACCTTCGCGGCCTCGGCTTCCTTGGCAGCCTTCTCCAAGGCCTCAGCTGCGGACCTCTCGGCTTCTGCCCTACTCCGATCCGCGGCCTCCGCTCGCAGGGTCATCTGCCGAAGGC